GAAACAATCCAACTTCACAGGTCAGAGACGCGTCCTCAAGGCGCGTCCATCGAGCAGGCCCGTTATGTCGAGAGACACGGACGGGTCACATCTTCCAGCTCAAACAGTCGCCAACGTTCAGCTGTGCTCATTCATGTTAAACAAACTTACTGTCTTTTTACATTCTGTGGCCAACAAGGAGGAAAGTTGCCACTAGTCTTCCAACTGTTTTGTTTTTTCAAAAGGAAAAACAGAAACTGGAATAGAAATAAAGCTGCTACATATCGAGGCGTAGTCAGGTCTCGCACTTACTAACCCAACACCTACTCACCCCCCTCTGACTGTGCACCCGAAGGTGACGGTTTCACGGCTCTCAGTCTGCTGTTAGTACCTCTTAGTGCCGATGGCGTCGATCTCGTCGATGAAGACAATGGAGGGCGCGTGCTCCTCTGCTACCCTGAAGAGCTCTCGGACCAGCTTGGGCCCGTCTCCCAAGTACTTCTGGATCAGCTCGGAGCCCACGACGCGCAGGAAGGTGGCCGAAGTCTGATTGGCCACAGCCTTGGCGAGCAGCGTCTTACCTGGTAGACGATTATATGACGTTGAATCAGTCGGTGAGGCATTTAGCCAGACAAGCCAACGCTACATCACAGAAGCACTCTGTTGGTGAGGATACTGCAATGGGAACTGCAGTATTTCTATGATATTCTCATCTGTACCAGTGATTATGTTAAATTCCATATAAATGCACTAAGACCGTGGGCTGAAATTCCCCAATATGAAGCCAAGTACCCTGATCTTTGATTTCTGAGACTAGAGGTTGAGTTCATCACAGAGGTCCATGCCTAATAATACTCCTATAATGAAACACACTGCTGATAAGCTTGGTTATACGATTGAGGAAAGATGTTTTTAATCATTATAACTGTGTAACACTGGCTGTGAAGAACTCTGTTCCATCTCGGCACGTAAAGGTCGGTGAGTCTCTCACCTTCCCTGCTGTGGCGCCCTAAAAATACCCTTAATGACACAGGAGGAGACATCCAACTGGGGTAAAGATACTGCTATCAGAGCTTCACTTGAAAATCAACTGCAACTAAACCAGTGCTGTATATGCATTAGGGCGGTCAACAAATATTCTATATTTGAGTAGTTGAAAACAACTATTCGAATGTGAAAATTAATATTCAAATGTAAAAAATAAATAAAAAACAGCGGCGCGACGTTCTGCTTAGCGGGCGCGCGCCTGACTACTGACGGTATATTACATTAATAAAATAGACTAGAGGCTACAACAGCTTCATGCACTAGTTTGATTATTTGCCGTTTCACGCCACGGAAAAGTTGCGTGTTGACAGGACAGCTCGCTCGGAGCGTTCAATGTCACTACTGTAAAACCTTCAGTTTCAATCACTGAATGGAGCCTGACGTCTTTGGGACAATAATCGCGACATTACTCTGCATTTGTTTGTTGTTATTATATATTATTTTTGTGCAGGTAATATGTTGGTAAATAGGTTTAAACTTAAATAAATTACCTGTACAAGTAGTTATGTCTCGTATTAATTTGTCCTGTTACTGACTTGTCTAATGCGCAACCGAATATATTCAAATATCTGTCTTTTTTTAAAGCAAATATTTGAGCAATTTTGACAGCCCCAGACTTTGATCTTCTTGTTTTTGTTCTGTTTAGTGAAGCTCATACCTGTGCCAGGAGCTCCATACAGAATGACACCTTTGGGGGGCTTTATGCCCATCTCCTCATAATACTCTGGATGTGTGAGAGGCAGCTCCACGGACTCCTGTTAAAACCAACAAAAAGGTAATTATGTACATGAACAATTAAACCGTCATGTCTATGTAAACAGGTCACTGACAGCTATGACAAAGATTGGCTGTACAGTGGTCAATATTTGTGTGGAACTATTAAGATGTGGAACACAAAGGATTTTTGCTCTTAAAGTGGTTGTAGAGAGATAAAGGTGCGAGAGGTTTACTGTACTTTGATCTCCTGGATCTGATTGTCCAGTCCGCCGATGTCAGCGTAGGTTTCCTGTGGGGCCTTCTCCACCTTCATCACCGTCACCAAGGGATCGGTGTCATCCATCAGCACACCAATCACAGCATGAACCTGGAGGCAACACACAAACACAAGACAACTGTAAACGCCACTCTAGTGGAAGGAGGAGGCAGAAGTGTTTTGTGGACGTCTCGGGTACCTGTTGACCCTAAACAGTGGCACAGTGTCATGGTATAATTATTGATTTCTTTAGTTCTCAATCAAATCAGACTCTTTAAAACAAAAGGTATGTTGCTTAAAATGTATTTTTTTCACCTTGTGGTTGAGCAGGACAGAGCAGCCTGGTTCCAGCAGGTCCTTATCCACAAAGGACAGGATGCTGACGTAGTGCTCAGATCCCACCGAGGTGGAAACAATGGCGTGGTTGTCATCGATAATTTCCTCCAGAGTGCCGACAGACATGGGGGTCCCCCGCAGGTCGTCAACCTTTGACCGCTCCTC